TGAGGTGTTGAATCCTGTTTTAGTTCTGGGAAGTCGGGGAGGGGAGGGGTTTAAGGGGAAATTATAAATTGATGTAGTAAATAATTATAAGTATATAATGGAATTGTAATAATAAGAGGATATTCCCGGCAGGTTCCCCAAATTGCACTCGATGTGGTGGTTAGAAGGCGAAAGGGATGTAGAGTGGTAGGAGGAATGAAGAGAGGTTGTGGGGTTAGGGGGAGGAAAGAGAGGGAAAGTGGATAAGGGTGGAGGCAAGGCGGGGACTGCCGGGAGTATTCGGAAATATTTTGAGTAAAAATCTTTTTTCTTTTGTGGTGTTTGTAGATGCATCATTTGTATTTGTTGTTTAATTCAAAATAATAAAAAATTTTATATATATATATAAAAAAAAAGAGTAACACACTTTTTGCCCATTTTATTTTTTTTAAAAAAAGTTCTTCCATTTTTAAATACGGGTGTTTTAAATCAGCAATTGTTCATGAGAGTTCAAATCAAATAAAAATTTCTTTCCCAGCAGTGACCCAAACCAACTACAGTATTCAAAATATCATGGAAGCTTTATTCTAATTGGAACCAAGCACTTGCCAGGATTTCAAGGATGCCAAGTAATAATTCTCTAGTATGGCCTTCAGTATTAGCTTTCTTGAAAAATATATAGGAAGGCACATTTTAAAATATGGTGTATAAATAAAATTCATTAAGTGTGAAAAAAATGTAAAGCATGTTGTGCTACTGCACTGAGATTGAACAAAAAAGCACAACAAATAAACCAGATGTAGCATAAAATATTAGAAAAATAAATCTGTAGCATTGAAAATGTTTATTAAGAAATTGCTACATTTCAGTGTACAAAATAACAAGTATTAAATTTAATATAAAGGGTATTACAACATTAAAACAAAATTGTGATATAAAGTATGAATGCAACAAAAACTATTTGAAAATCTTCTTCAAACAATAAAATATCTTCCTCAGAAAAGTTTGGTTTGAATTTTATTAATAATATTTGGAGCAAATATTTAACAAAGTGAAATAACGATTTCTATAAATATCAAAATATCTTAAACAACATGGAGTATATTTTTCTAGTTTGTACAAGATAAAACTACCAGCTTTAGGAAGACACTTCTCAGAAGGGATGATATTGCTGAGAATTACAGAATATAAACCTCTAAAAGCTCATAATAAGATTCAATTTTGGTGTTATGGACTGCTACAGAGGAAATGTAACATTTTATTTTATTTTTCCTGGAAGTGACGATAGTAGAGTATGTTATAATTAGTCTGAATTATCCCAGTCCTCTATTACTAATCCTTTATGCTATCTACATATTTTTTTCCTTTTAAATGTTATTTGCCATTTTTGATTTTTTTTTAAAAGATAAAAAAATAAAACTAGTAAATGAAGTAACAAAATGAACAGGGAGATTAGAAGCATGATAGAATTAAGATTAAAATTACATTATGAAAATAAATATTTAATAACAAGGCAAGAGGTGATAAATCTGAACTGAAACTTTCCCTGTATTCTTTTATTTCTAGAAAAAAGATGATTAACATCAATGAAAATTCTCAACATCTCTACATGAACTAAAGAAGAGGAAAGAATTTTGCAGCTGAGTTTAAGTTATCTCTAATTTATTTAATCCTGGCTTGTGAACTAAGCCACAGGCCATAGTTTGCAAACCACAACTGTTGCATTTACATGATACACTAAGGCAGGGGTGTCAAACTGCTGGCCCGTAGGCCGGTTGCATCATACGGAGGCCGCGCCCACCCCAGCTCCAGCAATGCAAAAAAAGTCGCGATATGTCGCGACACATCACATGATGTGGTGAGTTTGACACCCGTGCACTAAGGATTGGGGCAAATATTTCATATACTAACATTTAGACACAAATCATAATAACTAGAGCAAGAAATAGAATTAATGACATATTAATGTAAAGTGAGATTTCAAAATAATCACAAACAATATTAAAAAATAGTAATGACTGCTACAGTTTGCCTTCTTAGTAAATATACTTCAGTGAACAGCACTTACAGTTAGGCATTTTTAATAGAAAATTAACATAACAGCAGAATTTTTAAATGACCAGTTTCTTGTAACCTCATTCCTCATTGCAAAAACTTAATTGCAGAGACATTGTATAAAAAGTGGAATCATATTCATTTAAGTAACAATTTACTTAAATTATTTTAGATAAATCTTTCTCAAAATTAGTTCCAAAAACAATTTATGCAGTTAATAAAATTTAAAGGTCATTGTTTCAAATTCATGTACAAAACAACAGACAGAAGATAAGACGATTACTAATGAAACAATACTATTATTTAATTAGCATACCATCTCATTAGAAAAAAAACTGACAGTCATTTCAGAAAGAGATCTTATGAAGCTAAATGCTCACCTGTAGATAAATTCATTTTGGATTCTTTGGCTACCCCAATTTTAGCATAGGTGAGATTTTGTGACCTTCCAGCCATTGGAGCACTCAAGGAAATACTTCTCCCGTTGGCTCTCTGAGGAGGAACATAAGAGGCATTCTCAGCATTCTTGATTTGATCATTTTGTTGGCAATTCCCTTTACTTTTAGAGTTTGAAGTATGCATTGCTGCAAGAGATAATAAAACAATCAATATTTTCCCCCAACATGTAAGAAGCTACTTGGGGTTCAACATATATTGCAAGGATGGGAAATGCATTCCAATTTAGTCATCCATGAACCTACAACAGATCAGCACTTTGTGGAGGACTATAAATTGTCCATCGCTCATACAAAAAAATGAATTAAACACTGGGTCTTAATAGAGAGCTCCATCTTATAGCTGATGATGGAAAATAGTAAAATAGGGCAGACCATGCTATTTGAAATGATTCAAACAGTTCCTCTGAAATACCTTTTGCTGTCAAAGGGGTAGGCAGATTTTTGGAGTCCTCAGATAGCCATTTCTTTTTCTTTACTCCCTTAAAATGATGCTTCTTGATGCTTTCTGTATGGCTGGTAGCTAAAAAAAAGTCAGGATTGTGTTGTTCTAGAGTGATGATTAGTAAGGAAGCCAATAGATAGATCTACCCACTCCACTAAGCCATTGTTTTACATGATTTGGTAAATAAACCACTCTAGTAGGCTTATGCAACGTATTAAGCTTCAAAGAAATTATGGTTTGGCTTATGTGGCTTGGCACACTCTGAATCAGGATTATTTGCGGCCTCTGTTCCCATGTTAGTTCATGATCCAAGAATTCTATTCATAATTTTAACAATCTTTAAACACTCTTCCAAGAGATATAATGCTCTGATATTTATAGCATCAACATTACTGCATATTTTTTATTTATAGGTATTGTCTTAGTGGTTGTTTTGACTATTGCTATTCAGTTCCAGTTGCCAAACTGGCAAATAAAATGACCTACAATTACAAAAATTCCTAGCAGAGTCTGAATGTTCTTAAACTGACAAAAACAGTTCAGCCTGGAGCAAGGTCAAATCATTGCTAATAGCTGCAAATATAAAAAAAGATATATATCTACCCATTAATTGTTCTACTCAATGGCTAATAAGCATACATATTTCCTTCCAAATAGACAAAGGCATCTAGAAGTCAGTATAACTAAGCACTTGCTCAAATCAATATTGAACAGAGGACTTACTGTCAATCTTTAGAGCTCTCCAATTTTATTGCTATTATAATAGTAGTTCAATTGTTACTTTTCTTTAGCATTTTTATATATTTCACCCAAGTATATGAGCAGTGGCTGGAGCAAACAAAAGCAGAAGCAGTTTCCATTTTCCTTAATATTAGCACACAAGTGACCAGGGATTATAGTGAGCTAATGATGATGCAAGTTGGATAAAACAAAATTTATATTTGTGTCTTAGCTAAGTTAGCCTTATTTGGGGCTTATTCTACAATATTCTTAAAATGGGGCACAATTGGAAGATCTGAAGGGCCTGGCTGGAGACAGATCAACCTGGAGGTCTATCTATAGGGTTGATTTGATAGCACATACAGTAATTAGTTAAACCTAATCATACTAGTACAGTACTATGATAAACTACCACGAACTGTAAGAGAAGCTTGTCAAAAATCCCCTCCAATATTAGTGCAGAAGTGTTTTTAAAGAACAATACAGTAATGATTGCCATTCTGAAAGAGCATTCCTTCCCTGGAAGTGTCATATCCTCATCCAGTGACACAATGCCACCAGCATGAGAATATATCAAGATGGTTCCCCAATTATGGCATCACAAAAGCAATACATGGCTCAAAATCACCTTTTTGAGTGGGATCTAACCTTTTTTTCAATACTTCTAAACTTAGCAATTTCTATGGGATATATTTTAGTAAAAGCCCTTGCCAGAATGTTTTAAGAAAGTACACACATTAATTTTCCCATTGAGAAAAAGAAACATGAGACATGAGTTCTGAATACCTTTAACGTTTAAACACTTTAGCATGGTAAATTGTTTCTCTCCATTGAACATTTTGTTTTGTATCCCTTCAACAAATATATTTCTTTGTGACAAGTAACAATCACCTCCTACAGAGAAACAGGTATATCACAGAATTATCAGGGAAAATGTAACAATAACAAGAAACATACAAAAGAAATAAATAAACAAAAAGTATTCAAGATGTCTGCATTTTCCCCTTTAAATGGAAAAGCAATGAATGGCAAAATATGCACATGAAACAAAGTTGTTTAAACTAGCAAAATTAAATGTAGTTCAATAGTATGACCATGAATGGATCCTATGCAAAGCCCAAATGGCAATAACTCTTCCATGTGCTTGAATCATTGTGCTGATATTGCAAACCTGTAAGGAGATGTTTTATTGTTTCCTTTTAAAGACCTTCTGCTAATTTTAAACAAACTATAAACACATGCCTCATCTAAAATGAAAGGAAGAGGTTGGAACATTTTGGAATCAATAGCCATAGTCAGTTGATACTGCACCTAAAATGCTCAGCATACAGCCACTAGTTAAGTGTCATTTGCCACCATCACTCAAATGATGCTACTTCTTTGCTGCAATTGTAAATTCAGAAGAATTGCCTACAGGGAGGAAACAACCCACCTCACAAGGTTTTTCTTTTGGGTAAAATAAGAGGTGGGAACATTATGTGCACTGCTTTGAGTTATACAGAAATAAAGGGAGGATGTAAATCTAATCATCATATAAGAACAATAGAATAACATAAAGTTGTCCTAATAAAGCAGGAACTTGGCTTATAAGGAAGCCAATGTACATACAGCTGTATACTTTATGTAGCCTTCTCTTTACAAACAACCACAGTGAAGGTTTACAAAGGGCTGACATCCAAAAGCAAGAACAAGAAGTGACATGAAGCTTATCAGGAATGCTCACATATTAGACATTTGGGGCATTGCATCTGAAAGGAGCTAAAGTTTCTTTTATAACTGTATTGTTTGTCTGGGAAATAACACCGCAGTATTGTAGTTACTGACTCCATACAAAGCACATGAGAACTCAATTGCTTGAAAATAATTGAATGGACACTCTTCATCTCCATATTCTTTTTTTCTTACAGATGATTACACCAATATCCTTTCTGGGGGCTCTTATTTCTCAAAGATCTATTCAGCAGCTTCTCCCAACCTGCCACCCAATATTATCTTGCTTGTTCTGATGGAGAATCCGTTTCTGTTGTTCTGAAACCTGCCACATCTCTATTCAGGAACAACAGTGCAGGTGATTTTATAATATGTTGATTCAAATCCCAAATCTCTCTCCCTCTCCTTCTCCCTCTTTGTCTCTATTGTTGGTGGTTTCAATAGAGAAAAGGTGCAAAAATTGCAGCCTGAGAAGGTAAATGTAGCTTGCAAACAATCCCAAAACATCTTTAAATAAAATTAAATAAAGACAGATGGCATTGCTTCATTAAATTGGAAAATGAAAAAAGACTGAGCGCAGTTTCTGCAAACTAGGTAGCTTGTGTGTGTGTATGTGTGTGGGTGTGTATCTGAATGCAGGTTTCTGCACACTTATTTCATTGTCAGTTATAAGAATTTAAATGTAGAAATTGTATTTTAAATAATTACCTCCATTTTCAAAGGTACTAAGTTCAGATTTAGAGCAACTGTCTACTGAGGCTGTTATTTTTGTTTGCCTTTCTATAATGTTAAACTTTGATGGAACAGCAACACCATCACCTAGAATGGTGAAAGAGAAAATTTGCATGTAATAGGAATAGTTTTCTGTAGAGACAGCTATTATCATAGCATTAGCTACTGTTCTATAAGCTTTAGACCCCACCTACTGGCAATATGGGGATCATAAGTATGAATTACTGAGTTCTACTTATCATTTTTTTTCTATACTCAGATGAATTTTCTTAGGAACAATTAGTAAAATATGACTAATGAATAATATTTTACCTAATTCCATGACTGAAATATCTGAAAAAAATGAACATAATCATAATGCAAAGTGTTTTTAATACTTTAAAAAGCCATCGTAGCACTTTTCTCTACGTAACTAATTGCATAATGCTCAATTGAACTTGGAGTAAGGTTAGGTTCACATATTATAGTAAATTGTAATAGGACTAATATAACTTTGCATCAACCCATCTAAATATTCAATATACTTTAACCGGACAAACAAAAAGACTATGTTGTATTTCTTTTTTACATACAACGATACATAGGAAGCTGTCTTACATGAGATCATATTATTTATTCATGTAATTCAGAATTGGAACATTAAAACATGTTGACTATCAAGTCCCCTTTCCTGGCCTCTAGAACCCAATAGTCAGAAGGTCCCAAGCCTAATAGACAGGAGGCTCCAAATCACTTTTCAAATCCCCAGTCTCTAATCCTCTCCTCCACAAAAAAAATAAAAATAAAAAAAATAAATCAGCCCTTTGCTGTGCAAAGCCTGCTATAGCCCTTAAGCTGAAATAAGTTACACTCTTGGCACAACCCAATATTTTCAACTCTGACTAGCAGCAGGTTTCTATACTTAACACAGGTTTCTACGCAGCTAACTGGCAAATTCCCCATTGTGACATCTTTTGGCACTTTTAGTTGGCAACTCCAGAAACTGAACTTGGATTCTATCTCTAAATAATGTTAATCAAGATTTTTAACAATGAATATTTCTTATCTTTAAAAAGATAAAACATTTAAGTTTCAAAATTAAAAACTTCAGCTGTTCTATTCCTTGCCTTCTTGTAATTCTCTGCATGTTTCCATAGGTTTAATGAGCTCATTCTCCAGCACTGAAGAATTTTTTGTTAAATGATTTTCCTGAGAAGTCTGAATTCTATAATATTCTCCTGTTTCATCCACAAAAAGACAAAAGAAAAAAATGCAGTTGTTATATCAGCTAAAAAAAATGCACCAATGTTCTTAGCTGATATAACAATAAGATTCTTACCAGATTTATAGCACATTTCCTTTATTGCCTTTTCTTCTTCTATATCTTCTGGTGTCTTTGACAATAAATAAGATGCATCTGTATGGAGCAATTTTAAAAGTTATTTCTAATAAAATTCTTTCCTGGCTTTTTCTTGTGCCATATAAATAAAATCTGAATTGCATTTATATTTATAATACAAAATAAAATCTTTCTTTTATTGACTGAACAGAATTGTTTTAAAAGGAAAAGCTAGATTATTTTTTTCTAAAGAATTCCTATTCTCCACTTTCATTCTTTCCTTCCAACTGGACATAGGGAAAAAATAGGTAAAGAGGCTCAGGACATTTTACTGTGGGGCAAGTACTGAATTTATGAGTTCGAAAAAGGGCCACATCTAGCCAAAGTTGCAGAGGAAAATATTCCAGAAAAAAAATCCCTCAAGTGAGAAAAATCTGCTCCTATGGAGAAGGAGATATACATTGGGCTGGTATGTTACTAACTGTCCCATTCTAGGCCCCATTCTCTGAGTCACATGTCCCAAAACAGATTGTATGCAACCGGCCCTAAGCTTTCCAGAGCACACATAGAAACAAAGGCACAATGCAAGTGGAAAGCAAAAGCACATGCATGTACCATGTTATTTTGTTACATGGAAGAACACAGAGATCTTCTTAATGGCCATTGCTGAGAAGAACTTGGAAATAATTCCAGAATCTATGCTTTCTATGCTTTCTCTTCCTTCTTAGTCTTTCCATCTCAACAGAATGTTGGAGAGAATATGTAAAAGGTCTTGAGATTCTGTCCATCAGTTGAATAAGTCTCTGAAGGCTAGTAAAAGAGGGCCAAATTTGGATTAATGGGACAAGATGACAAAAGAAAGTTCAAAGTAAAAAAAAAAGGATAAATTTTCCTGGGGACTCTGGACAAAATATAAAACTTTTTTTCTTTTAACGACCCTGTACTTCCTTGCATCGAAATCGGGTGACTGAATGGAGTTGAGCCTTTACTGGCCAGATGCCCTTCCTGACACCTATGAGTTCACAGCAGACAATTACTCATTGCGCCCAGAGAGAGAAATATCTGCCGCCACCTAGGATTGAACTCACAGCCTCCTGAATGTGAGGTGAGAACTCCACTTCTAGGCCACTGAGCCGCTCACAAAATATAAAACAATAATAACAGAAAAATCCTTATGCAACCCTTCAGAGAGCACTTGGGGAGTTCTTTCAGAATGCTTCATTCTGAGTTCCATTCTAAGTTATCTTCTCTCTTCCTTTCTAATATTGTGCCCCAGAATTGAACTCCTTTTAAAGGGTTTGGAAGCATTTGAGAAACCATATTCTATTCTACATGGAGTATATATAATAAGCTTTTATTTCTCAAAGTTTGGATTTACAGATGAAGCAGACATTCTAAACCCATTTATCCAATTTTTTAAGAAGATAATTCATCTCCTTTTTAAACTATATCTCCACACTTAACAGTAGGCAATATTTTAGATGCATATAGGTAAGCAAAGAAAAAGAAAGACAAGAATATTCAGGTTGGGGTTCAGTTTTCATCTCTTTCTAAAAGACAGCATGTAGATAAACATGAATGTCTGAAAAATATTTACATTTTTCTTCTTGTTCTTCCTCTTCTTCATCCTCAAGATTGATAGTAATAATAAGTGGAGGATGAATAGGCCTTAATGAATTCTCCTGACCTTTTGTGGAATCTTGATTTTGAGCAGCATGCAAAATTCCTTCCTGAACTTCCCCTTGCAATGTAGAATCTATTGGAAGTAACTTTAAATTCAGTATAAAACTTTTGAATTGAGACTTTGAAGTGTTTAGCAGACTCACTCACAAAAGTCAAAACAACATTTGATAATTATATTTAGAATGTATTTGATCACCTGAACCATTAACCAAATAAATAAATTGATTAACTTAATATTATGTAATCCTATTCACAATGACATAGGAGAAACTTTTTACATGTTCAGTTGGAATAACTTTCTATTAAGCACCTGTAGGATTTCAGCCTTGGTTCATTAAGTGTTCCAGACAGTTAATACATATTATTCTAACTGGCTTCAGTGAAATTTATTGTGTGATATGTTTATGGCAACAGCAAAGAAAATAAACTCTGAAAGAAAAACATGCCTTGAAGGAAATGTCTTTTTAAAGATGCTATTCACTCCCCAAAGTATACAAAATTAATTGCATATTGCAAAAGGGCAACATAAAATGAAAGATCCTGCTAAGCATTGGCTTTCAACTATGTTCTGACTAATCATATATTGTACTAATCTATAATCCATGGTTTATAACTCATAATGACTAGATCCATGATAAAGCCCCCAACTAAATGAACAAAGCCATATTATTAATATTGTAAGGAGTAAAAGGTCTATTGCCTTAGTGGTCAATTATTTCTTTGTCTGAAAGGAAAACAGTCCTGAATTTAAGATGATCTTAAATTCATAAAAAAGGAGTAAACCAAACTCACCCATGCATGCAAAAATCCTATGCAATGGCCAGATTCCTCATTTATAAATTTAGAATTCCTGTTTTTAGCTAAAAGCAATTCTCAAATTATATACTCATAAACATAATGTAAAATATAAAAACACCTTTGAGTCCAGCTTAGCTCCTGGGTTGACTTTGTCTTCTTGAAATATTTTTCAATTTCCCATTCAACCCTATAATTTCTCTATAATCAACCATCAAAACATTAATTGCCTCCAGTTCTGATCTTCCTTTGGAGCCGACAAAAATAGATATACATGCAGACAAAATGCAACCAAATGATTATAGTAGCATAAAATATAATAATTAAATGACTTGTAAGGATAGTCCTTATTTAGCAACCACATTTGGTTCCAGCAACTCAATTGTTAAGTGGTCCCTAAGTGAAAATCATGTGACCACACTGTGCTTATGATTTTACACTGGCTTTCCTTTTCTTACAGCATCAGAAAAATATACTCGCAAATAGCTGAATGAGCCCAATTGGGTTTCCAGAACTCAACTCATGAGGAAGCCAGATGGAAGGGCAAATCTTGTTCCCCACTCTCTTGTCCCTTGGAGTATTCACCCCAGTCCTGGGATAATTAGCAAGAAAAGAATATTTTTTTAAAGAAATACATTCTCTGAAGAGAAAGGAACTGCAAGAGAATAAGCAAGCATACAGTGGGAATATATATAAAAAGGAATGCATTGTTTGTCTAGCCCACTTGCGGATGTGAGCTGTGAGCTGCTTAGGAAACAAACAACAGCCTTTAGTGAGAACCTGATTAGGGTCTTCTGATTGTCAGGCAGCGGTACCAGTCAGCCTGAGGGTTCTAATCAACTTATTAAGACTAGAGAGCTAAGCTTGTTAACTTGTGGTTAGCGCTTTTTAGAGAAACATTGTTCTGTGGAGAAAAGCATCTGAGGAAGAGATTACTTCTTTAGGCAATCTATCCTGTGCCTCAGGCACAGGACAATGCATACTAATTCTGCAGAACAAGGCATACCTGCCCAGAGTCACTAAGTTGATAGACAGCTACAGAAAATAAATAAATAAGTAAATAAAATAAACTGACTTTAATAATGAATGCATAACAGAGAGAGAGAGAGAGAGGGAGAGAGAGAGAGAGAGATGCTGCAAAGCTTATAAATGCAGACATTGGTCACAAAATTAGTTTTTCATCAGCATCATAATATTCTCTAATATTTCAAGCCATGTCATAAATTTGACAACTTTAACAGCTCAATTATTTATGTATTAAATTTGTAGGCTGCTGGCCTCCCAATGACATTTGGTGGTTCACAAGTAAAACTACTAGAGCCAAAATAAATAAATAAATCATACAATTAGTTACAACTATAGCAGAAAAACATATCTGTGAAAAAAACAGTTCCGTAGCAAAAAAAAAAAAAAGAGCAGAGCTAGAACCCAAAAAATAACTAATAATTAAAATATATTGCCTGTAAAGCACATCTTCAAAATTAATTGAGTTCCTATCTTCATATAAGCTGCTTTTTACATACACAATACATGATCACCCATAGAATCACAGAAACCTGAATTCCTTCTTTTGAGAAGAGACAAAAACAAAGGAAGAAACATATGGAAGAGGAGGAGGGGGTCTAAAGAACCAGGATGTAGGTGGTATGAGAGAAGGGAGTACAGGTAGTCCCTTGACTTATGATCACAATTGAGCCCAAAATTTTTGTTGCCAAGTGAGACAGTTAAGTGAGTTTTGTCCCATTTTACAACCTTTCTTGCCACAGTTGTTAAGTGATAGACTGCAGTTGTTAAGTTAGTACACAGTTATTAAGTGAATCTGGCTTCCACGTTGATTTGCTTGTCAGAAGGTTGCAAAAGGTGATCACATGATCCCAGAACACTGCAACCATCATAAATAGGAACCTGTTGTCAAGCTTCCACATTCTGAATACATGACTATGGAGATGCTGCAATGGTTGTAACTGTGACAAACAATCGTAAGTCAATTTTTTCAGTGTTATTGTAACTTCGAACAGTCATTAAATGAATGGCTGTAAGTTGAGGACTATCTTTAGTAGGAAACTAAAGGTAGGAACTAAATTAACAGTGTGGAGATGAGGCAAAAAGAAGGCATAAAGAGACAGCAAAGGGAAAGAATTACAACACCAAATCTAAATTCCCACATCCTTAGTAGGTTAACCTGCAAGTACATCCTTAGAAGGGAACTCTTAGTCCTAGGGAAAGCAATGTAACACCCTCTCCCTAATCAAAACATGAGACTCTTCTTGTTAAGTCCTTAGATAAATGGCGAAGGAGGCAATTCATGTTACAGAACAGATCTTTATTCTCTCTCAGTCACAACAACCAACCAACAAGAGCAGAGGCACGCAGGCCTCCTTTTATACTCCCGGATCCCCGGGCAACAACAACCAATAGCAGGCACTCTTTTTCCCGCCTTGCGCATGCGCGCAAGGCTGGCGCCGCTCAGTCTGGTCCCGGGCAGCTTTTGCAATGCCGGGACTCTTGCAGCGTCCCGAGCCTGCTTCTGCAGGCTCAGGACACAACACTTCTCATCAAGTAAATATGGCACTATTTTGCAATCAGTTTCCTGAAATGTTTGCACACAATTAATATATGCATCAAATCTTTCCTTTTCTTAAGCTTCTACAACTCTGGAAAATCCTAAATCTTTTGCCTTTATTGTAATCTTAACATGCTTTATTTAGGCAGGGGATTTTCTTCTCCGCCATTTTTCTACCTAGCTAAAGCTAGCATGGAGGAAATGACTTTTCTTTCTAAAACACAGTTCACATAGATTCCACTGAGAATAATAGTTAAAAAAAACCACCTCTCATGCAATTTGCAGAAGAGATTTATGACATATTCCATATGTAGATCTTTCTTCTAATATTCAATTGCCTTTTTTATTAAAGCACAACTTTTCCTCATGTTATTTTTTTCCATACAGAAAATAACATTATATTGGAACCATACTTTTAGTATTGCCATAAAATGCAACATTTATCTTTTCAACATTTTATAAACATGTATACCATTTTTTAAAAAGGCAAACAAGAAGTTCCTGCATTATGCAGTACATCAGTTATTCATATTGCCTCTCAAGCCCACTTTCTCTGAATATTATACAGGAAAGAGTGCTGAATACTTAACGTATCTTTGCAATAATTATTTCAGGCAGGCATTATAGAATATAAAAGTACTGTTCCAGACAACCTAATACGACAAAAAATTCTTCTTGGAATATAACAACTGTTTTTCTGCATAAAAGTTTGGAGAACTGTACCAGAGCAGGCAAAATTAGTTTAAGTATCCTAGAACCCTGGTTGATGGGCATGAATCAAATAAGTGCTTCTCAAACTTTTTTCTTCATTACTCAAAATCACAGATCAGAAAGTCTTACAGAACTTTGAGGACCTATCACAATTCCTTCAGTAATGTTATAACTTCAAACAGTCACTGAACAAATGGCCATAAATTGAGGACTACCTGTATTATACAAACAGTATTCATTGAACAAAATTTAAGTCATTTGGACAGATTACCATTGGTAATTTCAATGATTTTCCTTTTGATAGGAACAGAGATTTTCAAATATATTTTAGCACACATGACAATCTTTACATCAATTTTATGTCTCGAAAGAAAAAACACTTTTACCCAATTTGGGGTAATTTACTCAGGTTTGGGAAGCACTGATTTTAAAATATCAGTAGTAGTAATAAAATGACAGTGAAACCAATTGATATTCACTCTTTATTATAAATAGGCAACTATATCAAAACTCCCAAGGATAACTGCTTCATTTAAAAGGACTGTTTAAATTGCATCAAGTACACTCACAAAAGAATGCCAAATGTTAAAAGTAAGTAAGATGTCTCCTGGAATTAAACATACCTTTGCAGAAATTACAGAGATTTCAGATGAATTTGAAGCCCTATAAATGTGTCCAGGTTTAGAGCCTAAGATGCCCAAGACCCCAATCTAATATATAATTACATTCAATCAAGACAATTCAACTTTACTTAGCTGAATGTGAGTTGCTGTTGAACTTAGTCTTATATTCTAACCATTGTATCTAAGGGTTTATCAAGATGTAGGCCTCCCCTAATTTCATTCACCAATCAGCACAAACTTGTGGCAATTCAGAAGATACATAGAAGAAATTTTCTAGGAGGAGATTTCCTCTGGAATTAAACAAAAAACAGACAACTTTGATATCCTTTCTGATCACATAACTGGCATCCCTTGGAAACACAGTCCAGGGCTCAACACAATATTTGGAAGTGGATGCTAAAGCCAAATTACATCAGGCGAACAAAATGAAGACCATGCTGTATTAGTGTTAACTTCATTTTCCTGGAGGGAGGAGGTAGCAATGATCCTTGAAACATTACACTGCCAAACTACAGTAAAATATTGATTAGCTATAGCTATCCATCTCCACCAGTACAAACAAACCATGTTTCTAATAAAATGCGATTACTGTCAAAAGAGGCAGTAAATAGGAAACTGATAGGAACCCAATCAGTAACGATGAACTATCTTGCTTTAGGTCAGTGGTGGCGAACCTATGGCACACGTGCCAGAGGCGGCACTCGGAGCCCTCTCTGTGGGCACGCACGCCATTGCCCCAGCCCTGCCTCCCCCACAGCCCCCTCCTCCCCAGCAGCCCTCCCAGAGGAGAGTCTTCCCCAGGCACGGCCGTGCGAGCAGCGCAGCCAAGGACATGGCAGCTGGGCAGCAGGGACAAGATTCCGCCCTTGCTCCCCATCACGTGCAGATGATGCTGTGGAGTGAGGGCGTAGGGCGTGGCTGCCATGGCACTGCAAGGCCGCCTGGGCGATCTGCAGTAGGCCATGGAGGTGGTGAGTGGCCTTGCAGGTGGGCGGGGCAGGGGGCGGGCAGGGCGGTTTTTGGGCATTCGGTCTCTAAAAGGTTCGCCATCACTGCTTTAGGCCATTTAATTGGTCCACTAAAACATTTCTTCTCTCCCAGAAGGGAAGCACATCACAGAAATGATTCTAAACCGCTCTACCAAGATTAGATTGATACAGACCATGCTGGCCTTCTATAATGGCTTAAATACAAAAAAGTATCGCTGAACTTGAGGAATTATGTATGTGAAAGAACCCATGCAATGATTGTCTTGATTTGTTGTAGTTGAGTTGTTTATCTTAGGTTCTGAATATACATATATTATTCTATTGGTATGTGCTTTATTTTTACAGTTATTGAGTGGCCGTATAAATTCAAATCATAGACAGACAGACAGATGGATGGATAGTTCAAAAAGTCTGAACATAGAGAAGTGAATTCCAGATTTAACAAAGTGTTGGTTCCCATTAACTTTAATACTGTTATCTGCAAAATTCTTAACAGTTTTAAGGGGCACTGTATTATTATATTAATAATAATATGCTGTGAGAACAGCCTTAAAAACAAAGATTGACCCCATTCTAATCAGATTATGAATAAGAACTTTGATTCAATACATAAAAACTAATTACTTGTAGGATGTTGCTCATTAATAATATAGAAGTGAAACACATGTAATTGACTTCATTTCAGTTCCTAGAATATGGAAAAGATACTCACCATTACTAGGGGGCAAAAAAAGTCCATTAATATTACGAGGTTTCCTGTGATGGAAGACACAACTGATCCTCACACAGCCTAAAGGCTGTGTTTCCCAGAAGCATGAGATGCTGTTGTATTTTTGCTATAGAAGAAAACATGGATGGTTCCATATTTAATGATTCAATAGAAATTGTCAGGAAGGAAATTCTGCAATTCATAATCTAAACTATAAAGAATAGAAATGGAACAAAGCATTAAAAAAAAGACTTTGCATTTTAACATTTGCAGTTTGATCCCCACTGCTATATACTATGTGATTTTGCTGAAATTGTTTGGATTACTTTCAAATCTAAAGATTTGATTGGCATCAAATAGGAATCAAACAACAATTAGGATTCTTGTTTATTATAAGTGCTATAGTTGCTGCACAGAGAGTCTTCACTGTGGGGAAGGACTGTTTTATATTTCACACTAAACAACTGCATATTAAAATTTCAACCACATCCAAAAATGTTTCACTTAAAGAACAATCTAGGTCCAGTGAGTACTGCTATAGAACCTTCTTATAGCACTGGGTATATTGATGAAAATGTTAAAACAGGAAAGCCAGTGTCTATTTTTCTTCCATTAATATATTTGCATCACAACTACCTGTATTTCCATGTGTCTAAATTTGCAAAGTTGATGGGAACATTTTCCCTCTCTCCATAATGAGCACACAATATCACTGCCAATGGCTTTTTCACAGTGACGGAACCTGCACTTTGATCCCTGGATATAGAAAAAAGAGAGGTTTGAAAATTTGGCTACATAGCATTTTCTCTGTTTAAATATTTTAAATACTTTTTCAGGTTACAAAACAACTGAAACAACTCTTTTTAAAATAACAGAAGACCAGTAAAACAAAATCAGAAAAAAAGTCAGCAGAACTAATACAATTTCTCAAAAAAAAATCCATTCTAATACCTGTGGAACTAAAGAGTTGATTTAGTGTTGGAAAACACTGGATTTGAATCAAGCAGGACAATCAATAATCAGATTTCATCTTTATACAACATCTTTCTCCAATCATATCCATCTAATTTTAGAAAGCAGGATAGATGACAATGTCAGTTGTAAAGTCTGAATAAACATGTGGAAGAAGGCAGACCTTAGCCTATCTAGATCGCAAGCCATTTACTTTAGTTTGGCATTATGATTTTGTTACTCTGGCAAAAATATAAATAGAAATCCCAGAGAATCTACAAATTAATTTAGATATTGTCAAGTAAGCTCAGCTACTATACAATGTTCACTCAAGTGAACTGAATAAAATTAAGTAATAACCAGAAGTTCCATCATGGATAATAACTAGAAGATACACTGAACTTCATTAACAGCAAGATGAGTTACTTTATTGCTATATAGCATGCTATAGATTTCAAAGCAAGCAAATAAGTAGAAAAAATATTTTAGGAATCTAGGATCAAGCACAAAATTAGCTCCTCGCCCTTCAAATTTAGAGGTGGTGAGAATAACATAGAACTATCAACATGATGATATGATTTCAGAGGACAATTTGAGGAATTGGGTATGAGAAATTTTTGGATTAGGTCCTACAACAAGGAAACTTTGAATATTGTTTAATACCTATTTCATATCCAGATCTTTCTTCTGAAACAGATAATCTGTCTTCATGAGCACTTATGGAGAGTTTGGTCTAATGGTTAAGGCTAGAAACCAGAAGACTGTGAATTCTAGTCCTGCCTTAGACACAAAAGCTGGCTAAGTGATTTTTGGCCAGTCACTCTCTCTCTGAATTCAACTCAATTCACAGGATTGTTGTTGTTGTGGGGAAAGGAGGAGGAAGAAGTGTTAGGGATGTGAACTATGTCAAATTATTTATCAAAATAATAAAGACAGGATATAAATAAATAAATAAAATAGAGGGCATGAGGGGTCCTTGGTGCAGATTTTTGCATTTCGGAAGTCTCTGTTAAGAAAGGACTATATATTGCTTCTGCTGACAGTTGTTAATTGTCCAGGAAAGTTTGTTTCACAGTGAGAACTACTGGTGGAAAATGGCTTCCATGTAACTGGGGATTTCTTTTGAATGGTTTGAAGTGGGTACTTCTGGGAGTGTCAAAAAGATAACAGAGGACAACAGTCCAAAGCAGAGGCTTCTGATTCTTTAAATAATGTTATCACTGTTTTCCAGAATGACAGCAATATTTTCCCATTTCAGATAACATTTTTTTACTTTCTTGTAATCCAATCTGAATGCTGCATTTTCACATCTTCCATGAGTACTGGGATACATCTCTCTTTCTGATTGCTAAAACTCTCCTGAAGTGTTTATCAGTATTTTTTACTTTATTTCTTTTTTACTGCTGCATCGTACCCCACTCCTTACCTGTGTTACCCTACTTAGACATATAAACCAGAAAATTATCCTGTGTTCAAAACAATCAAAAGAGCCCACCTATACTGGAAATAATTAATACATAATCTGTGGTCTTAGAACAGCAGTTTATAAACTTATTTATCTCACTGGGTAAATCTAGGATCATATACTAAGTCCTAGAAATTGACTCGAACAGTAGAATTGTTTATTTATATACCACCAAATGTGTGTGTGTGTGTGTGTGAGAGAGAGAGAATGGTAGTTATAAATCTAAGAAAAGGTCATAGAAATGTCGATTTTTTTCTATTTAGAGTGAAAGGGGGTATTATAAATGTATACTGAAATTTGTTAATATCCTTGGGAAATAAATTATGCAGGCATCAATTTTTAGAATTCTGAATAAATATGTCATTCATGAAGATTAAATATAAAAGAATTTGCAGGCTTAAAAAGGGGGAAAAAGAAAAACATGGAAATTATTGGCAGATTTAAACATGTGAGAAGCAGATAGAGGGAAATAGATTAGATTGAGAATTTAAGAGAAATCTGTGGAATGTAGATGTAACTTTGGAAGAATAAAGGAAAGTTGCTGCAGCCATGGCTCAATCTGAAATACTACTGATTGCTGAAGGAATTTCAAATTCCTTTTGATGTGCCATAGAATTATTATTGAAAAATCTCCAATGGTCATTCATTCCAAGGTAATTCAGGCTGCAGTTTGATAAGATGAGATGAGATGAGATGAAATGAAATGAGATAAGATAACCTTTATTGTCACTTTTCTGTGTATACAATGGCACACATAAAAATGAACTATATATACAGTGAAAGTAATTGCAAATGACTTTTAATAAAAAAAGAAGAAGAAGAATTTGACTGTGCCTGCAACAGTCTTCCTGGCACTTTTTACAATTGGGAAAACTGGGTGGCACATGACAATGTAATAGATGCAATCCATTATAAATTATGCAGTATTTACCTTCGCACAGGTTGAATGAACATAGAAAAAACAGTCATCCCCAACTTCTGTCATTTCACCTCTTGTGCTTCTACTCCACTGTCTTTAGAAAGATCTCAGCATAAATGTTGGAATTATCAACATGTATGGGAAGAATATTCCCTTTTGTTCTGAGTACAGCAGAATTCAGGATCTAAGTTCTATTTCCTCTTAAAGGGAAACCTCCAGTTGATAGTTTTAACCAAAAAGCTTCTTATACTAATTGTAAAACAGACGGTACCTTCTTAAGGTTTGTTGAAGAGCTCACAAATTGAAAGTGGTTGCTAGACAGTGCACAAATTCAAACTTCCAGAATTTCTTTCATTGTTACCTTAGTTCTTATGACATCATCACAAAGGACATCATATGACCCCTCAAACTGGGAAAGCTCACTTATCTTCATTGTTCCTAAGTGCTGGAAAACAGGAAAGAAGATAGCAATTTCCACATGGTCTACTCATCTGATTATTCCAACATAACATAAATGTATGAAAGAAATAGAACTCAGTTAAGAGAATTTTTGAAACTCATACTTAATGGACAGAATTGAGAATGAGACAAGAAGGAGAATAAAGATCCTCATCCTTTCTATATCAGTAACTCCCAATTTGCCAGGATTTTAATTATTTAAATGATTTGGTTTCTAAGCTTATCTGCCATCATATATGCTATTAACACACATATCAATCTATCAGATCTTTATTATGGTCATAGCATAATACAAACATATGTAATACAGAGCCTGTTATTAAAGGCATGTGCATCGCTAAGTCTTTGAATAACTACTAATATTGCCAGAGAATGTTTGGCTATGGGTAGATGCTTAACTGCAAGAAAATAAGTGTAGTTCTTTGCTTATTGTTACTTTGGCACAGTTTAAATGCAGGTTCTGAAAAGCTCATTGTCTGGGGATATTTGGATTGAGAAAAATAATCTGTTAGAGAGAAAAGCACAGACATATTGAAAAAAATATCCTGAGAAGACCAACCAAAAACTTTAGCTTTGATTTTTCCACTCATGTGGCAGGGAGGAGGATTTACTGAACAGTGGCAAAACATTTGCAATATAGTTTACAGGAACTCCTAAACAGATTCACTCATGCAGTGCAATGTACTAGATCAGTGATGGCGAACCTTTTAGAGACCGAGTGCCCAAAAACTGTCCCGTCCTGGCCCACCCCCGTTCCATCCCCCAGCCCACCCACTCCACCACCGCTCTGCCCTGCCCCCGCCTACATGCAGGGCCACCCGCCTCCACAGCCCACCACAGATCGCCCAGGCAGTCCTGCAACGCCATGGCGACCCCGTCCTCCGCCCGTGCCCCGGAGCATCATCTATGCGCGACAGGGCATGAGGGCAGACTCTTGTCCCTGCTGCCAGGCTGCCATGTCCTTGGCTGCACTGCTCCACGCAGGCCGCGCCTGGAGACAACTCTCCGGGGGGCTGCTGGTGAGGGGGCCATGGGGGGAGGTGGGGCTGGGGCAACGGCACGCGTGCTCACAGAGAGGGCACCGAGTGCCGCCTCTGGCACTCATGCCATAAGTTCGCCACCATTGTACTAGATGTTCATAAAGGAAACCATAAAGATGCCATGTGAAAGTAAGCCAATT